CTCCCCAGGTGCCTCCCCCGGCCTGTCCCCGCCCCGGCGGGTCCCCTCCTGTCAGTGCACTCACCCCGCAGTCATTGGCTCCGTCTCCACACATGCCCACAAAGTAGCTGCAAGCCAAAGCAAACAGCACGTCAGCAGGGAGCCAGGCAGCCCCCGCCTGGGGTTAGTTTGCAAAGGGTCGGGCGCTTTCCAGGGGAAGGGCTGCAAGGCTGGCCGGTCTGGACCCCAGCGCTGCTGGCTCCCAGGGGGCTGCTCTGGGGCTAGGGCACAGCAGCCGGAGAGCCCGGCCATTTCCAGCGTCACCGGATGCCCTGGAGGTCCTGGCCGGTGGAGCCTTCTGCATTCCCTGCCTGGCCCAGGCTCACAATTTCACGCACAGGAACACGGCTGGAGGCTGCCCGGGCCTAGGCAGTGGCCTGGCTTGCAGCAGCACACAGAGCCTGGGGCCCTCCTGGGGCCCAGCCGAGCTCCTGTCCCTGGTCCCCTGCTCCACTCCTGACATCTCGCCCCTCCTAGCTGCCCCGAATGCCCCACTTCGGCTGGCTCCCTTGGCGAGCCCAGTGCAGCTCCTCGACCTGCTTCTACAGCATGGCCTGGCCCGCACCGCTGCTTCAGGCCTTCACCGCGACCTCAGACCACGTCCCTCCAACCTGAGCCCCGACCTCGACCCGCCCCGTGTGCCTGGCCTGCGAGCCGGGACGGGACGGTGATCACAGACCCCCTCCGGGGTGCACGGGAACTATCTGCCGAGCTGCATTTCTGGAGGGGACTCGGATTTGGGATCCCCGTCCGGCCCACACTTCCCCGTGCCCATCCCAAGCGTCTGGACAGGAGCTGATTGGCCTTGGACTCCCCTCCGGCCTGCAAATGGCTCCAGCCCTGTCCATGGCCCAATAGAACTTACCCCAACTTTTGAAACTCCTCCACCAGGCTGGACTTCTGACCCGGGGACATTCTAGCAAAAACAGTCCCCTGAAGCAGGAGCTGAAAGGAGAAAGCGATTGGACGCAGGACTGGCCACACATGGGCCTGCAGGGCTAAGATGGTGCAAAAGGAAATCCGGGAACAAAGGCCTGGTAGGTCACTCGAGTCTCTGGGTGACCCCTGACCCCTGACCTCTCAAGGCTCTGGTTTAACTAGACCAGTGGTTCCCAAACTTTTCGGCATCACGCCCCTTTTTTGATTTTTGAGAAACCCTCACGCCCCCCTTCCCCCCAATAACAGCAAAACTTGTTGAGAAAAAAAAGGATAGAAAGCTGGTTAGACTGTCGGGCCCAGCGGGTAGTGATCAACGCTCGATGTCAGGATGGCGGTCGGTTTCTAGCGGAGTGCCCCAAGGTTCGGTTCTGGGACCGGTTTTGTTCAATATCTTTATTAATGACCTGGATGAGGGGATGGATTGCACCCTCAGCAAGTTTGCGGATGACACTAAGCTGGGGGGAGAGGTAGATACGCTGGAGGGCAGAGATAGGGTCCAGAATGACTTAGACAAATTGGAGGATTGGGCCACAAGGAATCTGATGAGGTTCAACAAGGACAAGTGTAGAGTCCTGCACTTGGGACGGGAGAATCCCAAGCATTGTTACAGGCTGGGGACCAACCAGTTAAGTAGTAGTTCTGCAGAAAAGGACCTGGGGGTTACAGTGGAGGAGAAGCTGGAGATGAGTCAACAGTGTGCCCTTGTAGTCAAGAAGGCTAGTGGCATATTAGGTTGCATTAAGAGGAGCATTGCCAGCAGATCCAGAGATGTCATTATTCCCCTTTATT